AATTATAAAATAATCTTAAAATATAAAAAAAAATAATTATAAATTCTTTTTAAAATTAAATAAAATCTTTTTTGCTTAAGTTAAAAAAAAAAATTATTTTTTTTTGTTTTTTTTTCGTTAAATTTGTCCGGCTTCTGTTTTTTCTTTCTTTCAACATTTTCAAGAAAAAGTTATGAAGTATAAATTATTGAATAATTTTATTACTATTTTTGTAAAAAGGAAAACACACATTATGTATGCAATATGATCAAACTAATTGAAATTATCTAAGGATTCCAATGTTCTACATGCGGTCTAATAAAAAAAAAATTAATAAATAAAAAATACTTGAGTACTAACCGGAAATTCAGATCAGTAGACCATATGAAAACTGCATAATAAATCATTTTATTATTATTCAATTGCATAATTTATTTATTCAATGATGTTTAAAGGTGATGTAAATGAATAAAATCGAATTTTTTGTTTTTTAAATTGCAGGAGTTTAAAATCTGAGGCCATTCTCGCAGTGCTTTTACACAATTATGCTTAATACCAATGAGGCCAGCATTCAAAAACATACATAAATAGTTTATATAATGCATTATTATTAAAAAAAAAAAAATAAAAATTATTGAATTGTTATAATTTCGAAGAAAGCACAGTCCCCAATATAGAAACCATTGCCATTATGCCAATTTTATTGTTTAAAGTTTTCTTTTTCCTTTTCCCTCTTTTTTTTTTTTTGCCTTGGAAGACATACAGAATGTTTTAAAAAGAAGTTGGTTGTTTTGTTGCCCTACTTAATTAATTGCAAGGTTACAAAAATGGTATATGGAAATTGATAGCTAATCCTTCTTGAAGTATGTAATTCTCTTCTTTTTTTCACTGTCATTTTTGATTATAAGTTTCTCTTTTGCGATACTTAAATTGGCATAAATTATTTCTTGTTTGTTAATTGGATTGGAATAAGACTTTCTCTTTGTCACTTCTTTTTTTGTATAATTCAATAGTGTCGTTTTATTTTTTACTTTAATTATTATAATTTTTTTGCATTTTTTTTTAATTTTTGAAAATATAAATAATTATTTTTTTTTTTTAAATATATTACTATAGTCTATTAAATTAAATAAATTTAAATAGTTGAGTAATGTACATGAAATAAAACTACTTAAAAATTAAATATACATTATATTTAGTTATGTTTATGCAGTAGGATAATTTCGTTATTGAAAAAAATAAAAACAATATAAAATTATTAAAATATTATACAAAAATATTGCAGTATAACATTAAAAAATATTATATGAATTGTTTATGAGTTTTTTTTTTTATTAAACAAGATTTAATTTATTAATTCTAAACAAAAAAAAAATGTTCATTTAAATATTTTTGATGGTGTGTTTTCGATTTAAGATAGAAATATTAAGAAATAATTTTAATTGGGAATCAAAGTTTTAGATTGCATTAGGAAAAATTTCATACACGTTTGTATATTTATTGCACTTCAAACAAAAATACAATACAAATATTGTTTAAAATTTATTACTATTTAATTAAACAATTTTTTTGTTCTTCAAGCTCTTTGATAAGAATTAGAATCTTTTAATAATTATTTAAGTCTATTGAATCTATCGATTAATTTTCGAAACAGCACTACGATTGGATAAAAATTTTTCTTTCAGATTTCAATAAGGGAATATTAATAAGTAGTCTACTGAAATAGTTTGGTTTAATTTAAAATTACTATTTTAGTCGCTATTATTTTTTTTATTTTAATAAAGAATTAATAAATTAAAACCCATTTTTGAATTTAATTATTTTGAGTTATCGTGGGCGCGGAAGGACAGAAATTTAAGTTTTTTTTTTTTTTTTATTAAATTACCCGGAGTTTTTTTAATACAGTTTTTCCGTTTTTGAAACATGGAATTATTTTAATATTACTGACCGTTACAAAAAGGTAAAATAATAATGATTAACAATACAAAAAAAAAAAATAATATAAAACGAAAAAAATAACAAAATTAATTAAAATTAGGGAATCGGATTACTTTTAAAAATTTGTTGAAATTCTGGGAAACTCAACTTTTTCGTTTCGAATTTCAACAACTAAATCAATGTTTTTTTTTTTTGTTTTGTTTTACATATGTATTTTTATTTTTAATTTTATAATTTTATTATTTAATTAAGAATTATATTTTAAGTTTTTTACTTAGCTTTTTTTTGTTTAGAATTTTCCTTTACAATATCAATATATTTTGATATTTAAAATTTGTATGTTTATATTTTGAAAATGCCATGGAACTAAAATAATACGAATATAAATTATTGCAATTAGATAATTTAATTTCTAACCCTTTTTTATATTGTCTTTCAATTTTTTTTTTGTCAAGAAATTTGATTATCTATAATTTAATATTATAATATGTTCCATTATTTTTAAGTATAGAATGTTATCAAAACCAATTTATAGGCGATTATTTGAAAATTTTGTAATTTAAAAAATTTCACTTAAAAATAAATTTTTCATAATAAGTACGTATAATTTAATATTTGAATGTAAAATTAAAATTTGAACTTTATATATCGATACAAATTATGTAGGCAAGTAAGTGTATAAGTGTTTAAGTTCTGATGATCCAAAAATAACATTTTAAGAATGTTACATCTATTATAATACTTAGTATTAAAATGTTATAAATTTTGTCAATATTCTACATAATGCAATATAATAATAGTTTTCTATAAGTTTTCAAATAGAATTAATATTTATTTAAATATTATATATTTAAATAATATTTAAATATTTTCAAATAGAAACAAAGATTTATTTTTCACGGATAAAACTTTTTACAGTCTTAAAATAGACATCAAAAACAAAGTATTTTCTTTTGATTTTGAAATCTACATTTGCATCTTAATTTCGTCAATTCGAAAATATTATTTGATTATAAAAACTTAATTATTAATTAATAAAAATGTATAATTTTTTAAATTATTACTAAAAATATAATTACAAAACTTTCAAATAATCATTATATAAAATTATAATTTAATCATTACTAGTTAAACATTCCATTACAAATGAGTTTATTAAAAAAAAAATATAAAAATTATTGGTAAATTCTTAAACGTCAAATTTTACAAAATCTGAGTTGTCTGAGTTTACGAATACTCTAATGCGTTTTTACTTTCAGTCAAAGTTTAAATTCTTAAACGTTTAAAAAAAGTCAATTAAGCGTCAAAATTGCAGATTTTTTTTTTATATGCAGACAGTCTGACGTAGTAATTCAGTAAATAAATTAGATGTATTGAGTGACTATCATTACGTTAAAAATAATATAAAAAATATTTTTTTTCTTAATTTTTAATGTGTAAGTATAAAATTATTTTAAATCTAAAAAAAATTTTATTTTTGTTTTGACGTTTACGGATGATCAAAATTCAAAGTCAATTACGGGTAAAAAGTTTACTACATTTCTGTCCGTAAAAGTTTTATACGTCAGACAGTTTGCAGACTGAAAACAAAATTTTGACGTTAAAGAATTTGCGGTATGTATTAAAAGATTGGTTACAGAATGAATTCAAGAGTCAGGGTAGTTCAACTGTAGTTCGAAAATTCGTATTGTAGTAGTAGATGGCATTTTTATTGTTGTTTTTACAAATTTTGTTTTATACTTAAATATTTTTTATGTTAATTTTTTTTGTAATTTTTTTTAAGTTTTTTTTTTTTTTTTTTTTTTGTTAAGTTTTACTATTTTATTTTTTCTTTTTAATTTAATTTCTAAGTAAATATATAGTTTGCGTTTATTTTACACCACTTAAAATTTAAATATACAATTAATTAAACATTAAAATCTAAAAGTGTTAAATAAAATAAAAATTTTTGAAATAAACAAAATAAAAACAAAAAAAAAAGTTGTTGGATATTTTTTTTTTTTTTTGTAATTTTATTGATGTTTGTTGTTTTTCTCTTGTTGATGTTTGTTTGTTCCTAAACTTTTCTAAATATGAAATTGCTTAAATCTTAGTGTTAATTAATTAATTAGTAATTATAAATCGGTTATAATTGTTGTTGTTTAATTTTTGTCTTATCTTCATCTATTAATAAATAAAATCGCTATAAAAATTTATTTTTATTTAACAGTTAATTTATGTACAAACATTTTTTTTTTGAATTTTTTATTGTTTTTTCAACATTTTTCTGTTTTTTTTTTTTCTTTACTTGTTTAAATTTTAATGTTTCTTTTTTTTTTTGTTTTAATTCATCTCATTTTTTGATTAAAAAGGAAAATTTTGTTTTCTAAGTTTAACTTTTTTTTTGTTAATTTTTTTTATTAACTTTTGTTTTAAATTTTTTTGTTATAACTTACATACCTTTATCGCTTTTCAAATTATTTTTGAATTATAATTATTAAAAAAAAAAAAAAACACAGGAATAAATTGTTTTATTTTTAATTTAATTTGCGAGAAACTAGCATTTAATTATAGTTAAATAATATTAATATATAAAAAAAAGATAACTATTTTTATAAATTGATTAAATAATGTACAATAAAATGGCAAATAATCATAAAATTAAATTAAATATAATTATAAAAAAAATTAAACTATTTTTTTTTTACATTCGCTAGATAACTCATTACATGATCATATCAGGTGGTAATTATTAAATAGATTTTGTAGATAAGAGCGAGCAAATAACGTTGGATGTTACTAAGTGCTTAGTAGAAATATGAATATAAATTAGAAAAACAATTAATTGACAAACAAAAGTATACAGAAAAGTAAGATCAGCTATTGAAATCAATCTGTTGTAAGAATATGTTATTTTTTTTTACAAATTTGGACAATAAATTTATTCTTAACACTTGTCAATTTTTGCTGATAATAAAGTTTAAGAAAGTGAAGTAATTTTGTATTACTTAAAGAATGCATTTTTTCTATAATAGAAATAGAATGCACTACTTTACTATTGTGTATTATGTATCATAAAAACAATTTCATAATGTGTTGTTGAAAATCGAAATTTTTACTTTGTTTTAAATATTTATAGCTTAGTATTGAGGGAATTTTGAATTTTTTACAGAAAAAATTAAGCTACTTAAAAATTTCCCAAATTCTTGATTCGCACTTATTAATAACTACATTACCAGGATTATACTCGTACATAGTTCTGAGTTATTTTTATTTTTTAAAACATAAACAGCATAGTTTATTTTTACTATTAAATTACAAATTAATAAGAAATACTAAAAAAATATTAAAATAAATAAAATTTTTCTACAAATTTGTAATGCCATTTTTTGTACAAATAAATATATAAAAATTTACATACAAAATATGTTAGGAAAATGTTTAAAACCGCGGAAAAAATACAACAACAAAAAAAAAACCAGAAAATCAGAAATAATAAAAAAAACAAAATTTCATTTTCACAAATTTTTCTTTAAAAACTGCAAATTTCCAATATTAATTACTTTTTTTTTCTTTGTTTTTTTTCTTTGAATATTAAATGTTTTCAAAATGTTTTTCTTTTCTGTCAAAATTTTAAAATATATGCAAAATACATTTATGCATACATGTATAAATATAATTTGTTTTTAAATAAATAAAAACACTTAATTTTTATTTTTTCATAATAATCATAATAACTACTATGTGTAATAATTTATTAATAATTCTGATTTTTAATATTTTTGAAAGGATATTTTAATAAACAAAATATCCTTATATTAATTCTTAGTGTTAGTTTATCATTCTTTTGTTTTTTTTTTTGTTGCCCTTAAGAATAAAATATTTTATTAATGTTATGTTTCTTTCCTTCTCTAATTTCTATTTTTATTTATAATTTTCATTCATCAATTTTATAATTATATTATTTGATTTTTTTTTTTTGTAAATTTTTTTTAATACAGATTTTTTTAGTGTCCTTGAATTTTTTTTTTGCTCTTTGTTTGTGTGTTTTTTCTTTTAAAATTTTGTTGGTTTTTTATTAATTATTATTACAAAATTTTAAAATTGTAATAATTAAAATAAGTTAAATATTTAAACTAGTTTTTGTTTTGTTAATTTTCATTTTATAAGTTTATAAATATTTTAAAAATTTAAACTTTTCTTGTTAATTATTAGCTTTTTTGTTGATTATTTCCTCTAATAATAATCTAATTTTCGTATTTTTTTTAATTCAAATTATAAGAATATGATTATTTATACTGTATATTACTTAGAACATAATTATTTACACATCATAAATAAAATATAAGCTACATAAATATTCAATTTTAAGAATATATAATGGTAAATGTATAAATATTACATTAAATTTTTCGTGTATAATTGAAATTTTTTCATTTATTTTTTAGAAACACACTTGTTATTTTTTTTTTATTCAATTCATCTGATGTTATTTATGTTTTCTATTTTACATTTGAGAATTTATCAAAAACATTCATGGGAAGCCTTACAAAAGTTTTAGAAAATCTTTTATACTGCTCATGTATTAATGTAAATGCCCAATTACTAGTACATACTTATGTGATCAAAAAAAAAAACAAACTTACAAGAAATATACGGATTTTAATAATTACTTTATGTATATTTATATTAATGTATAAATAATCATATTCAAATTTCCAACAAAATTTTTTGAATCAAATTTTAATTTGAAAACTTCTAAAATATTATAAACATATAAAAAATTGAATAAACTAAAAATAAAATATAAGTATTTGATTGCATGTTTTAATAACAAATAGTTGAAGTAAAAAAAAAATTATAAAATTATTAAATATTTAATTAATTAAATAATCAATTAAATAAATTCTTGTTTTATTTTATAATCACTAATTTAAAAAATATCACCAATTTTATTTTATAATTTCAATTAAATTATGATATATATGAACATTTATATATCATATATAATTTTTCTGTTTTATTATGTTTTTTTGTATTTTTTATTTATTTTTTTTTTTGTTTAAATATATAAATATATAGTTAGTAAATAATAATTACTAATGATGATTAATATAATGTGTATAATTATTTATGTATATAAAATGGGCGATTCCGGCGGAAAACATTTCATAAGTTTTTTCAATCTTTTAATTTAGAAAAATAAATTGTACAAACAATGTTTATAACATTAAATCCGATGTCATTAAATCCTTTTGATATCAGAACTTTAAGTTAAATTTCATATTTAAAAATACTCTCGATTATAATGTATTTATAAGTTCACAATAATTCGGATTTAAAAATGTTACTTTAGTTAACATAATAAAGTATTTGGCTTTGAATCCTTGAAGTTTATTAAATGTACACAAAAATTTTGTTGGACAATTTTCTTTTAGTTGACTCAATACTGGTAGTTTTTTAATGTGTTTTTACTTTTTAGTACACAATACTTTTTTTAACGTTAAGATATGATTTCCAATACATAGGATATTTCAAATTTTAATGCAATTCGTTAGAAAATATAATTATTTTTATTAATATTATAAACATTGTTTATATAAATTAAGAACATTTTTAATATTTAAACAAATACATACATATGTTTTTTTCATTACCATTTTTCTTTCATTGATCTACAATTAATTTAAAATATCTTGGAGATTGAAATTATCATTTTCAAGTGAATTTAATAAATCTTGTGCCGAAATACTACTACCGTCTCCTACTGGAAGATTTTCTAAAAATTCTAAACTAAAATCAGAACTATTTGCTACAACAGAATTAATAGTTTGATTAATTGATGTAACCGAACTACTACTACTGCTAACTGTAGCGGCAGTTATTGACATATTATTATTATTCATGGGTCCACCATTATTATTATTTGGGTTATTTGAATTCATACCGCCATGTCCAACACCACCTAAGCCAACAGCACTATTATTACCACCAGCGTTTACAAGACTATTTGAATTGCTGTTGCCACCACTATTTGAATTACCTCCGTTATTACCATTTGGACCATTATTTGCTTGATTACCAACTCCAGCAGTAGCAGCAATCATTTGTGCCATAGGATTATTCGAAACATTCGGTCCACCTGGTCCGATTGGACCACTATTGGACATCTGTATCATTTGTGAATGTTGTTGATGTGTTGTTGTTGAGGAAGTTTGTTGAACAAATTGTTGTTGCATTGCTATTTGTTGAGTTTGTGACATATGCAAAGATGCCATCTGCATCTGTTGCATCATTCCTTGTTGCTGTTGATTCTGTTGTTGATGATGTTGTTGTTGTTGCAACATTTGCTGCATTACGGATTGTTGTTGCTGTTGTTGCTGCTGTGCGTTAGGACCCATGCAGTTGCCACCATTAGGCCCAATCATCATTCCCTGGGCGTTCATTGCAGCTAGAGGATTTTGCTGCGCAGCTAATTGATTTTGCTGTGCTGCCAATTGATTTTGTTGTAATTGTGATTGTTGTGCTTGTTGCGACCGTAACATTTGTTGTTGCGCTGGTGTTAATTGCATACCGTTCGCTAATCCCATACTGTTTGGGTTAGGTCCACCGGCGTTTGAATTCGGCATGAAATTTCCTAAAAAAGAATTTGAAAAATTATAATATTGACAAGTAACAGTATTTTCCTAGAATTCAGAGTGTCATCAGTAATTAACTTACCAGTATTAAAGCCTTGTTGTCTCATACTGGAGTTTTGAGTAGAAAATGACATACTTTGCTGTTGTTGTATCATCATTTGACGCCATTCTTGTTGGGATCCTATTGGCATACCTTCAGGACTAACTTGCACATTTGGAGGACGTTGTGGTCCTCCCATGGGACCACCATAAGGCCCACCGCCACCCATGGCACTACGAGGTCCACCAACATGACCTGCGGAATGTTGCATGTACATGGAGTGCTGCGGTCTCATCATTGGACCTAAAACAAGACAAAATTTGGTAAAAATTTCCAAAAACATACAATTTACAAATATTACCTGAAGGAGGAATAGGCTGGTGACCCATACGACGCATTGCCGCAGCTTGTGCTGCTGCATTTGGAAATCTACCTCCTGCTGCTTGCGCTTGCATAAGTTGTGCTTGCATCAACTGCGTTTGACTTGCTTTATATTCTGGAGGTGGTGGCCGATTGCTACTCATATGTTGCTGCTGCATTGCCTGCATTCGCATCATCTGTTGTTGCTGTAAGAATTTAGCTTGTGTCATACCCATCGGTGGAACTCCACCTCCACCACTGCCCATCATCATTGAATTAGGACCGTTTGTATTAGCCATGTTTTGGTTTAATCCGCCGCCTTGCACCATTTGATTTGGTAGTCCATTTAAACCGCCAGGGCCATGTTGACTACCACCCACATTTCCTCCAGGACCCATTGGTCCGCCCATTGCAGCCATCATATTAGGACTTCCGCCATGTGGTCCCATTTGTCCCATTCCTTGAGTTAAAGCAGCTGCCATTACTGAATTCGCTGTCGTAGTACCCGAATTAGAGTTATTATTGCCACTATTGCCACCCCCAGCTGCCACATTACCCATACCAGCGCTCGCGGAAGGATTCGGACTAGCAACAAGGGAATTGTTTGGACCCGTCATTTGATTCAAGCCACCTAAACTAGACCCGCCTCCAGATGATTGATTCATATTAGTATTTGGGCCATTATTTGTGTTGGGGCCACTATTGGGACCATTTTGTGGCCCTCCCATGAGATTTCCACTAGTATTTGATAAATTATTGCTATTTGGTCCATTAGGTCCAGAACTTTGATTCATTGGGTTTAATGTAGGATTATTAGGCATAGCGTTATTGCCAACAGAAGACGTATTTACACCTCCAGAGTTGTTACCCATTGTGTTTGTAGGACCAACATTATTCATTCCAACAAAATTGTTTGCTGTTGATGATTGTGGTTGTCGATGTTGCCTCAAAGCTTGTTGCTGGGTAAAGTTAATATTCTGTGATTGTGTCATTGAGTATGAGGACTCATTATTATTTCCTATACATAAAACACAATAATTTTATAGTTTCAATTTTACAATACTATTATAGTGCAATAATTATTAAAAATAACACGACTTTACCTTGTGAATTGTTAGGGTTTGCTTGTTGATTTTGTTGATTATTACCATGCTGATTATTATTATTTTGTTGTGAATGTTGTTGAGATTGTTGATTTTGTGCTGCAGCTGCTGCTGCTGCTGCCGCTGCTGCTGCTTGTTGTTGATTAAAATATACCCCTTGTTGCGCTGCTACCGATACATTGCTTTTCATTTCACTACTAAGATGTAGGTGTTGTCCAGCTGAAACCTACCAAAATAAAAGAGAAAGGAATTAGTTTTCGTATGTTTTAAGGAAGGTTTTGAAAACTTAAAATACTTTGCAAAAAAAATTTTTTTAATTGTTTACACAAATTACAGTTTGTTTCGATTACAAATTTTTCGATTATAAGATGAAATTCATGTTTTATAGAATAACTAAGTAGTAGAAAAATATTAAATTTATAAAAGGAATGCTTTTAGTAACATAAATCACCAATTTATTTAAGTCGACTGCTTACTCATTTTTTTACTTCAATTAAAAGCAGGGTCTCCTTTATTATACATTTTTCCCCTTTATAACTCATTTTCCATTAAACATTTAAAATAATTTTACAAATCTATATGCTAGTAACAGCAGGAAAAAAATAGCTTTATTATGAGACTGGCACCGTTAATCTCCATTAACATTTATTTTCCTTTGTTTTGAATCAAGCAGAAGTGTTAAAAAGGAGAATTGTCTGTACAGTATAATCTCATATATAACATGATACTATTAGTACTTTTTTATGATTTATTTGCGAAAACTGGTGCGAACCACCAACTGATAAAATTCGCATTTTTATGCTAAATACATTTCAGGAAAAATATCCTCAATACGTTTAGGGAACGGCATACCGTGGTGTCTGCAGGAAAGAATGTGGGTATTAATATAAAACAGGAAACATTTTTTTCAAGCGATTCATTATTTTAATTATTATTGAAGAACCAGACATACAATCACATAAAAGTAGCTTTTTAGAAGAAACTAAAAACAGAATTTTGTTAAATAACAATTGAATTATTTAATATTTAATTAGATGCTAAATTTGTTGGTTTTTTAGGGAGTTAGTTTATTTCTATTATCTATGTAGATTTGTAAATATAAAGCACATACAATCAAATCCACAATTTTCGAATTAAAAATAAAGATTTTGCCAAAGTTTACAAAACTTTCCTACAAATTTTTCATGTACATGTTTGATGGAACTAATTGAAAACTGAATGCGGCCTGACCAAATGGTTTCTAGCTATTTTATGTGGAAAATTCATTTCATTTTGATTATAAAATACTTTTTAGGTTTCAATTTGTTGTAAACTGAAAATAATGATTTTTTAAAATAATACCAATCGTTTCTAAACTTCTATAATTTTATAATAAACAAAAATTCTACATGTACATACAAAAATTTCTATATATTACGTTCTATAATCAGACAGAAAAAAAATTTCCCAAACTTGTCAAACGTAGTTTAGTACTGCGGTACGTTCAAAGTCAGTTTGGCTCTCAGACTTAATTTAACATTCATGTACATAACATCTGCATGTATTCACAGTCATTAAGTATACACTTAACGCAAAATTTCACCTACCAATAAATTTCTTAAGGACTGCCTATTATTCGTGTTCATGTCACGGAGTTTGCCGAATTAATAGATTTTAATTTGATTTACGATATTCTAGCTACTTATTTAATTTGTTTCATTAAAAATACAGCATGATTACAAAATGAAATAAAACAAAAATTCGGTTACAAAAGATTAAAACAAAAGATAGGAAATGATATATGCAAACGAGGTGATCGTAGAGTGAATGACACACGTATTAAGAGAATTTAAAAAAAATCATTTTTCCACCGTACATCCTCAAAATAACAACAAGAAATTAAACTTAACAAATTGGAAATTTTGCTGTTGAAATAATGAGAAAAAGAGATTCTGAGTATAGAAATTAGAGATGCGTAAAAAAAACTCTCAAAGTACAAAATTTAATTTAATATTGAAATTGTTATATGTATAACTGAATTAACAACAATAGAGTAATGTAGACATTTTGTGAGATTTACCGAAAAACATACTTTTATTATTATCAGTACACGTAGATATAGGTATATTTTAATAAAAATTTAATTTCTTTAAATATTAAAATATGTTGCGTATCTATTTACTGGATGCTAAATATCGTAATTATTTGATATTGAATAAGTTTTAATATCTTAATTAATAATTTATTTGTAAATTTAGTTTTTAAAAAATTTAAAAACAAAATGAAAAAAAGGATTGTCATGTGTTGGTAAAACATTCCACTTAATCTTAAGAAAATTTAATTAACTTGGCACGCCAGAAAAAGTATATATAATGTAAAACAAGGGATATAAATAGGAGAACCAGTAGTTAGCACTTTATAAAGAAGCGAAAAACTTTAAAAAGGTTTTTATCTCTTCTCCAATTTCCTTACTCTCATTTTTAAAAAATCTTCAAAAATTACAATTTACAATAATTCTCTTCTTTTTGGTATTATTGTATGAATAGCCACTTAAATCGCTGTCTATACGTTATCATTTACTTTGATCGTAGTATATACACTATTTTTTAGTTAGTCACTTAAGATTGTATGTGAACAAAAAAAATTAGTTTAAATTGGCGTTTATTAATTCTCTGTCATTTTTTTACTTTTTTCTTAAGAAAATTAGAAATTTTTCTTTTGCATAATTTGAATTTAATTTTTACACAGATTTTGAATTTTCCGCATTGTACACAATGAGAGAAGTTATGTGATGCTACCAAATTTCGGATATCGAGTTTTATGTGGGAACGCACTTCTCTATACTAGGGAAGCGTAAATAAACTATTTTTGGAGAGATGTCGGGATGTTAATGAAACTTTATATGTGTCTTTATTTGGCTATGGATTGATTAGCTTCTGGGATATATATTTGCGGGGCGATTTTATATTTTTGCGAATATAAAAAGAAATTACAAACCAATTTCCTTGAAAATTAATATTTAAACTCGGATATTATATTTAAATAGTAATTAATAAAATTTTTTTTCACACCAGCAATGAATTTATAAATTATTTGGAAAGATCAGAGCTTTGCTCCCAATCAACTTTTTGGAACGATAGCACAGTTCAAGAGCGATTGTAAATCCAGAAGGAATGCTTTTGTATAGGGTATTTTGAGTATTGGTGTTTTGTATTTTATACGATTTTGCTGTGGTGTGGACTTTATACTCTTTCTCTTCTTTAAATATTTTCAGATTTTTTTCTACTTCTTCTTTATAGTGAAGTGTAGATATGTGTGATCTGTGAAATGTTTTATACTGTTAGTGCAAATTTTATTATTTTATTTTGTTTTTAATTTTTTTTCATTCGCTTTTCGTTCTAATATACAAAATAGGTCATTGTTCTTTATATTGGTAATGAGATTATCCGTTTTCATTATTGTTATTGTTTTTATTTTATTATTTTTAAATACATTGCTGTGGTTAAGTGCATATTGCACAGTACAAATTATTAAGAAATTATTGCAAATGTACGAGGAACTTTTAACAACAAATTTATGTGTTTGTGTGTTTGATTTACATATTTGAAATTGATTTAAAAAATTTCAAATCTATATATGCGTGATAGAATATATATTTATGTATGTATATGTACGAGTATGTATATGCCATAGCCAATATCCGTATATAGTAAATTACAAAAATAAAAAAAAAATCGAAACGAAATATTGAAGATAAATGTTGTACCTGTTTAAATTTTTATTTAGCTACAAAATAATTGTAGTATAAAAAATCTCAAAATAAAACTGAAAAGAAATTGAATTTTTTCAATCTGAAAAATAGACGAATAGCGACAAACTAAGTTGAATAAGATTATGATGACGGAATTTTATTAGAGAACATGGAATTTTTAGTGTTTAAAATGTTTTCCTTTAATCTATACAAAAAAATATAATTGAGATTATGATTTGGAATAACTGTTGAATTTGATGGCACTACAGTATTATTGTAGTTTTGAGGTCATGCATAAACATATTTAGAATGTAGACATATCTACATAAAAAAATAGAGCTCAAAAAGAGGATAACCACGTAGTTTGAACTGAACGCTTTGGAAATGTAATTCTTTTAAAATGTTAACAAAAGATACGATTCAGATTCGTTCATTCTAATAATTTACGTATTTATAAAATAATTCAACAAGTAAATTGTTAAGTTACACATCTCTGAGTTTGTTTTTCTTTCAAACATTAAAAAATATATTACATACTTATAACTCAATACATATATAACGATTTTTTTGCTTCAATTCCATTTTAATATTCGCAAAAAATTTTGTTGTAGGTGTTTTTGAGCTTAACTCGTTATATTTGAATGTAATGTACGAGTACATATATATACATTCAATACTTGGCAATATTTTGTTTAGTTGTTTAATATATTTATATATTATTCTCAATTCTAATTAATTTTAGTTTCACTAAAATTTGTTTCTATCTAAATATCTTTCGTCAAAGATTATATAAGAAATTGGATGTTAACTTTAATACGAGCATTACGTTAACGCTCCTTACCTTATTACATTCATTGCTAAAGGTTACATTCATTGCTCATCCCAAATTTATGCAATCTTTGTAACATATTCGTATATGTATTAAAGTACTTTCAATAATGTAACACATAACTAGATTCTTTTTAAAAGCAGTATTTTCACTTGTTGAAGAGAAAAGAACTACATTATAAACAATTGGTTTGATCCAACTTTACTATTTAAGAGAGCCTGAATTTCTTTATATATAAATTTTGATTCAAGGGATAATTTTGCATTAATCGAATAGTTTTAGTAAACCAAATTGGTAGACTTTAAACGTAAACTTATATAACTTAACGGGGTTAGCAATATTTTCGTAAAATATGTAGATTTATTCATATTATAATATTAATATAAAATTCATAAAATAAATCTAAAAAAGTGTGCAAAGTTCGCTTACTTATAAATAGTTTTATTTATTTAAGGCTTTATTCTAACTTCTTTACTCTTTAAATGAGGAGTAAATTAGTGACTTTTGTAATAAAATTTTCAAATAAGAAACGCTTTTTCTTACATCTCGTTTTTAATATACAATCGTATATTGTATTATATTTAATCATATTTCTATAATTTCCTCTTAAAAATATTATAATATAGGCTAAGACATTATAATATTTGTACTTGATGTACTGAGAAAA